CTGTTCTTCCACTTTAAAAAGATATTTATTTTTATTTATGTGTATGTGTGTTTGTCTGTGTCTGTGTGTGTATGTGCAGGTGTCTGAGGAGGCCAGAAGAGGGTGTCAGATCCCCTGAAGCTGGAGTTGCAGGTTGTGGTTCACCATTGTGGGTACCGAAACTGAACTGGTGCTCTGAAAGAGCTGTAGCAAGCACTCTTAACTGCATCAGATTTCTCTCCAGCCTGTTCTTCCACTCTTAATAGCACATGTTATGGCTATTCCACTCTTAATAGCATATGTTGGCTATAATAGCCAACGAGATGGCTCACTGGGTAAAGGTGCCTGCCACCAACCCTGACCACCTTAGTTCAATCTTAGGAATCTATGTGGTGGAAGGAGCATCAACTCCCACAAATTGTCCTCTGACCTCCACACACATCTCGTGGCATGTGAGCTCCACCATCCCCACAAATAAATAAAAATATAATAATTAAACAACAACAACAACAATAAAACTTATTACTAGAATGGACCTGCCCAGACAATCCAGGACTGGATTCTCATCTCTAGATCTTTTACCTTAGTCAAATATACAAAGTCCCTTTTGTCAAATTGCGTAGCACATCCTCAAGTCCCAGGGATTAGGCTGGGGATAGCTTTGGGGCCACCATTCTACCTGCCACACCTATGAGCATGGACTTGCTTACCGTCCTTCCCCAGTCCTTTTATATCTTGCCTTGTTTTCTTTCCTTCCTCTCCTCGCTATGTCCTCTGTCCTTCTTGCTCTTCATTTTTTCCTTAAGAACAAAGATTTATTTTTTGGGGGGGAGGGCATGTTCCGTGGAACAGTCACTGAAGTGGACACTAGTAATAAAAAGATGAGGGTTCAGTTGGTAGTAATAAAAAAGATGCCTCACTCATATGCATGAAGCCCTGGGTTCTACCCCCATTGCTGCATAAGCCTGGTTTGCTGGTACATGCCTGTAATTCCAGCCTTTGGGAGGTAAAGGCAAGAAGACCAGAAGTTCAAAGTAATCCTTTAGTACAAAGTGAGTTTGAGCCTAGGATATATGAGACCCTGTCTCAAAACAAACAAACACAATCCCTCCCCAAAACAATAGCAAAAATCAATCAATCTATCATCTATGTATGTATGTATGTATGTATGTATGTATGTATGTATCTAATCTAATATATCATCTCTCTATATCTTTCTATCTATATGATATGTATCTATATCTATATATCTATATATATATGAGTTAGTTATGGCATCTGCCCTCAAATAGTTTATAATTGAATGGGAGGACTCATTTTAATTAAAAGAAAAACAAATAATATATTAATATATGTTTCTCATATAGCCAATCTCCTTAATTTCTCTGTTTAATACTTCCCATCTTAACAAATGAAAAAATATTCTCACTGGAAATTTGCAGGTGAATCAAAAAAGGGATTCACACAATAGCAAGCTTTCAAAATGCTACATGTACAGATGACAACTTGCGAATCATTTTGAAAATATGTAATTGCAAGTCTAAGTAAAATGAAAGTCTATCACAAACTGTAATATCGGTGTTTCTTTCAATCCCTCTTCACCAAGAAAGTGGCTAAATTTCTTGATGAGGGACAGGTGAGGAAATGTTTAGGCAGTCTGAAACCTGGTTTTTTGTTTGTTTCTGTAGGCAACAATTTTTTCCGCTCACTTCAAAACAACTTTACTTTGATGTTGCTTGCCCTAAAAGCTAAAAGCCTTTTTCCTCCTCAGTCTAAGTTCTTGATTTGGTTTATTCTATGAAACGTAGCGTCCTTGTATGCATCGGGTACTTATCTGGTGCTGGGGTTACAAAGATGAAAGAGCTTCTGTTCGTTAAAGAAAATCCATTTTTCTAGCCTTGGCAGACTAGTCCCATTCAGCCATTTGACCCTTTTTCACTTCATTCCTTTAAGCCAAACCTTTCCAACCCATTTGCATAGCATATTCTTCCATGCACTGAGGTAGTTCTTGCTTCAGCTGTTGGGTATACAGGCAGGGCCCTGAATTCCATTTCCTTTTGTGTCCCCTACAAAAATGGCATTCTGTTTGTGTGATAATGTGATAAACCCAAGATTCAAAACTCTGAGCCTGATGCCCTCACTCAAAGTCCAAGACCTGTAATATCAGCATCACCAGGAATCTATTGGAGATGCAATTTAATTGTTTATTTTAGCTTAAGTAATAACAATTTATTGAGAACTTCTGGGATGGTGGTTACCTCCTCCCACCTTGAGGGAAGGCCCAATACTGTAGAAAGTCACCAAGAAATCACACCGTCTGAAGCTTGTTGGGCCAGTACAGAGAGGTGGGAAGTCATTTCCTCTAAAAGCATTGGTCTTTAGTACTTTCAGGGCTCAAGAGGGCAGGTGTAAAGAGTAGAAGGACCAGCATATGGCACTAGGGTCTGGGTGGGGTGTGCTGAACCCCCTAGGTGACTCCTCAAACACTAGAGGAGAAACATATCTATTTCTTCTCTGCAGGCAGAGTTCTTAATGATCACGCTCATTTCTTACCTGTAATGAGGCTGTTACTTGCTCTGGGTAAAGCTCCCATCCCATAGATTCAGCACTAGAGATGCAAATTCTGACTCCTTTCTAGATCTACTGAACTGCAAACCCTGGGGCATGGGATCCCTCAATTAATATTTTAACAAGCACTCTGGAGAATCTGCATGTTTCTTAGGCTTGAGATCCCTTGCTCTAAAGCACATTTGGGTTCCCATCAATGGTTACAATTCAAGGGCGGCCACCTTCACCTCTGTCCGCACCTGTGCTGATTTCTCTGCCCTGCTTGACTCTTCTCAGCACTCACCTTTTGTAGCTTCTGGGCCACGTCATTCATCTCCCGCTTTCTCTCAACCTGACAATGTCTCTCAGTCTTTGCCTGGCTCTTCTTTCTTTTAAGTGTAGTGACTTCTTCAGGATCTGCCTATAGCCTTTCTCTTCTCACCATTCTTGAGTGAGTCCATCTATTGTCACTGTCTCTTGGCTTCTAGCAGAGAATTCCCAGCTTTCCATATCCTCTTTGTCTTCTACCCCAGCTAGTAGCAGAGCTCAACCAGTGCCAAACCAAAGATATCCTTGTCTAATTTGGGCTTTCATCCTCTCTCACCTTTGAATTCACGAAAACTTAGGACTGGCTTCACCTGTCTCTAATTTTCCCCACTCAGTGTCTTCTCAAAACATAGCTCTGAGGAGCAAAATGCTTTGATCAACACCAAGTCCTTGACTGAGAACTCCTGTCACACTCAACTGCCTGCTCCGCCTTTCAGAAAGATTGCTCACTGCTAGCCAGGCAGCCCAGGCACCTCCAGGCTCTGTGCTTTTCCCAGGCTGTTCCTCAGTCTTGATTTCTCCATTCAAGTCAGATTTTATGGTCAAAATCTATCTGTAGCCATCAGCATGTAGGGAGGGCAGACCCCCTCCAGAGACCCCTCTGACTTCCTAGTTGGAGTTTGTCTGCCCCCTCTACAATGCCCCCCCCCATCCCATTTCCACAGGGCTTTCAGTATTTAACTTTTTTTTTTTTTGTGGTCTTTTTGAGATAGGGTCTCCCTGTAGCCCCAGCTGTCCTGGAACTCACTATGTAGACCAGGCTGGCCTTGAACTCACAGAGATCCTCCTGCCTCTGTCTCCTGAGTGCTGGGTTTAAAGGCATGAGCCACCACATAAGTTAAATAAGTATTTAACTTATTAATGTATACATTAGTCAGGTATTTGAATCTTTGTCCCTTCCTCTAGTCACCTGGTATGACAGGGATATCAGCTATCCTTGCAACCTCCACAGCACACAGTAGTTTGTTATGTTGACCTGACTGTGTTGAAATGGAGCAGCATTTTAGACAGCAGTAAAATGGTGATATGAACATCTACAGAGGCAGGGGCCTGACAGTCCTGGTAAGCATCTATCCCTTGAGGGGTCCTATGTGGGGTCAGTGCTGGTCATGACTCCAGGAGAGAGGCTGACTAAAGAGACGCAGCTTGTACTGGGAAAGGACCATTCTCTAGGTATCTGCATCGGTCTGCTCTTTGCCCTCTGCATCCTGCTCCCTTTCATCCAAGAAGGCCCTTGTTTGAAATCTTTCTTCCCTTCATTAGCTGTGCTCGTGGAGGTTCCCAGCTGTACTTTCCTTTGGTCTTTTCTTGCTTCCACTGTTTATTTATTTCTCTGTCAGCCTCTCTCTCTGGCAGTTGTTGTAAACAGAGCCAGTGACTGTCAGCCTGGGGCTTGTGCAGTGAACCAGTTGTATGTATACTCTAGAATCATGCAGAGGGCCCTCCCTGGTGCTGAGAAGTGGCTCTGGGCACTGTCCCAAGCTAGCCAGAAGGTTTTGCTCCTGACTATCCAAATGGAACTTTACAGACAGAAGCATCACATGGCACACTCTCTACCTTTCTCTCTCTCCAGCTCCTCTCTCTTATGCCAGTTTTTGCTACCACAATCCCTTTCCCTGGTCAGTAGTTGCGCAGGTTGCAGAGGGTTCAGTCTGGCTTACCTCTGCATATAGCCACAAAGGACATTGAACATTCTTGAGTAATATTCATCCATGCCTAATATTTTCTTCCCCTTTGAGAAAGTTGAAGCTATGATTCATATAAATTGGCCATTCTAAATCCTAAGCCTAAATGGATTTCCTGGTTATGAAGGGGAAAGGGATAACCTTGAAGCCAGGCCAGGAATGTGGGGCTGTTTTCCCCCCTTCCCCTTGTCACCAAGCCAACACTCCTGCCTTGGTGAGAGCAGGAGGATCAAAGGCAGTTAACCTCTTTCCCATAGGCAGGCTACGTCTCACCTCTGCACCCAAATGATCTCCTCTGACCTCCCCTCAACTCCCTGTCCCCGACACCCGGCCACCGGCTTTTGCGCTCTACGCTGCTGCTTCTCCCCGAACTCCGGAGAGCCACCAGCCCCTTGGAGGCATCTGCCCCTGTTCCAGCTGTCAGCGGGAGAGCCACACAGGCAGTGCCATTCTGTTAGAGCCCGCGGTCCTCCCCCAACTGCGTGGCAGCGCATTATCTGTCAGAATGCCCCTCTCCCCTCCCTCCGCCTCCCCGCCCCCTCCCCTGTGCTTGCTCTTTCCCTTTTCATGAGATGCAAAGCCTGGCGAGAAACAGAGCCTGAGGAGCAGCGTGTTGGAGCAGCTCTACTTAGGGGCCCTAGGTGAGGCGGCCACGCTCCACCATCCTCACCCATGTACCAGGAGGTGGCTGACTCTATCACTCAGGGCCTCACCGAACCATGCCCAACGGGCTTACGGCAGCCACATCTTCCCAGCTGTGCTGCCCACCACCAGACAGGTAAGAGGGAGCAGCTGTTTCTAGCTGGGCTTGATAGATCCCTGTATGGGCCAGCTGAGCCTTAACTGGGAGGCGCAGGACAGACACCTGGAGCAGAGGCCCCATCCTCCTATATCTATACTCATCCTCTTCCAGAGCTCCTAGGAGCAGGGCAAGCCTGCCACCCTGGTCCAGAGTAAGGAGGCGGGAATAGCAGGTTCTTCCTAGTTGGTAGGAACTGAGCTGCAAATGTTCTTGCTTTGTTTTGTTTTCTATCCCTTTCCACCCCAACTCCTCAGGGCCCCTGAAATCTGTCTTTGGTAAAACGGATCCTCTTTCCACACTCACATTCCTTAGGGGGCTCTGAAAATATGATCAGTTGATGTGTGGAGGATGCCACCGGCTCTTTATTTTTAGTTCCATTCATGTCTAGCTCAGCTGTTGTTTGGAACGGGGTCTCCTGCACAGCAGCCTGGTTGCACACAGCATCTGTCTTGTTTCCAGTTAGCAGCACAGGTCTACAGCTCTGCCGGTGACTAACACTGGTGACACATTCCAATGCAAAAGGACTACAATGACAATGAGTTGGAGGGAGATTAAAATGCATTGGAGGTCACCAATTTCTAAGCAGCAAGTTGAGGGCACAGATACCACCTAGAGGAGGTGATACATCCCTGGCATGTCTGGTTAGTGGCTGTGTGTGGCTGTGTGTGTGTGTGTGTGTGTGTGTGTGTGTGTGTGTGTAGGTAGCTACTTGATAGCAATCCATTGTCTGACCATGTTCTGAAAACCTGGCTTTAAGTCCTGGAAGGTTCTGGCTTTGGGATACTTATATCTACCAAAGTAATAAAGGAAAATCTAACCTACTTTGCAATTTGAGTTCATCGTGGATCACTTGTTCTTACAAATTTTGAAAACTTTAGGGTCTTCATGAAGGACAGAAGGCTTGCTGGAAAGTGGAGGTGTGACAACTGTATTCATGAGATCATATTGATGTTTGGGAAAATTTAAATCTCTGAAAACCAAGCAATGCGGTGTTAGGCTGACCGGGGTGG